GGGAGCGATTCAACAGCTTTATTTACCAAGTTTCAACTCTCCGGTGGTCCGCTTCAAATGCACAGGTTCTGTCCAGGATGGATATCTGAGCGGCCTCCTGGTCAGCCACACATCGAAACGAACGGGAATGAAACATGCTGCTACATGCCGTATTGATCCAGCTGTTCTCCGCATGCAATCGCACATCGGTGATACTTGCCTTGGTCTCGATTGTGCCGCAGGACTCGTTTGGGCGACCGTGTACAGCTTGGTGCAGGCGCTGGACCCGAGGACGCACTAGGAAGCAGGGTTGAGATCTAGTGCGGTGGTATAAGAAAAAAGGACACCGTGGCGCAGCGCTCACTGCTACAGGTCGCAGAGATTTCAGGGTTCCAGCGGCGTCGAACGGATCGACAATTTCTTGCCTTCAAAACTGCATTTACAGACCTCATTTCCAGCGGAATATCTTCCTTACTTCAAATGGTGTGTGATCTATGCAATTCTAATCTTTTATCTACTTCCTTTCTCCAGAAATCCCGTAGAGGGTTCGAAATGGTGGTGTTCGGCAACTACCGAAAATGATTGCCGTAGAACGGCGGAGTTCAACCCATCGCAACATTTAGTCTTTGGGCGGTTTCCCGGGTGGAGAACATAGAGAAGAATCGAGACTAATCAGCATCAAGTGAGCCTCTGGATTGTCAATTTTACATCTTTATCACTGAATCTCCCACTGTCTCAACATCAAACTTTCAAAGCAAATCGGGTTTAAAGAATAATTCACTCAAGTCTAATTTCGAGGCAAGTCCGGACCGTCCTTCGAGTCGTACTTAACCCCACGTTCCCACCTGTCTCAGGTTGGAAGCGGAACGTGGGCACTGCACATACCCCCGCCCCTCGCAAATCTTGCTTGTTTCATCGGGCCGAGTATACGTCACCTTTATTGTCTTCGCTTGACAAGTTTTTGGCCCTTGCCCAAGCGACCGTAAGTGGGGTCTAAAATTTATCTGCCTTGTTCCCTGCAACAGTAAGTATACTTAACCTGGCGAGCGGAATTGCTGTTCTTCAGCGCCTCACTGCGTCTCGCCAGGTAAGTCAGACTATTCCTTGCTCTACGCATAATTTGCTTATCACTCCGTCTCACCAGTCATCGCACGATTACTGTTCACTCACCCTTATATCCTACGTCTATTTCCACACCTATTCGTCTCGTATCCTTAGTATACTCGTCTTTGTATTCGCCCACTCCGGCATCTCGTGCCCGTCTCTCAATTGACTCCCGAGCATCTCGTAGGCTGTTTCTTGCTAAACCCCACTCATCTTGCGCGTTTCAACTACGCCGATCAATTATAGTGCAACGAAACTGCGTTCATAGAGGCCTATTTGGCACCCCCAGGTCACTCCGGAACATAAAAGACGAAAAGGCCCTTCATAATGTGCCGTCGAATCATTACGGCCGTCCCGTCGCCCGTCCCATCCCGTCAGAGATCCGGGACCTCCGGTGGACGCCGGTGGTCCCGACATAGTAGCTCTCACTGTGGACCGCAGAGATAGTGAAATTCGCGATACTTTTTCGCCCCAATACCACTGGAATTTCGCTCCAAATTGGGTGAATTTCACGGTCAAAAAGCGAATTTCACATCAAAAAGGACCTCAAAATTTTCACGGTCAATATGACGCTTTTCGCCCACCGTTCGCCCTCACTTTCACGTACTTTTGTAGCGAATTTCGCGGTGTTCCAGGGCTAAATTTGAGCAAAAGGATATCTCTGTTTTCTACCATTCCCCTCATTGCTGCTCTAATTGTACAAGTACAACCGCAAAGTAGTAAGGTTATAAGTATCTTGATCTAATATAATAAGTACTCTAACTATCTAAAGATCTTTTGAAGTCCTAACATACCATGTAAATGACTGGTACTGATGACCTGAGTTTTGTACCTTGCTCCAGTGACCGAGTGGAGTACGTGAAAAAGCAAGTTCACTGTATTTCGGAGTGAAACTAAATTTTCACGTACTTTGCTTTGAGGCGACCAAATTCACCATCTTCTCACCCCATGGGGTGAAAGATTTTTCACGGTGTTTCGCAGTGAACGGCGAAATTCACGAAGGTCAACAGAGAATTTCACGCACTCTGTTTTCCACAGTGTCTGAGGATAGGATTAGCGAAGACGCAGAGTAACACCGCGGGCAGAGCAGTCGGCATCCAATTTTTGGATGCCGGAGTGGCATCCAACGTACACCTTGATGGCACCTTGCCGGCATCTGGCTCCAACTTTCAGGTTGGGCTGTTATCGAGAAGGAATAGAGTGATTTGGATGGTTATTCCAGATTTGATTTCAATATATTTTACATGTAATTTATTGGTGATTTATTAAGATTTTCATGCACGAATGAAGGGTCAAATCGGACAAGCCAGCGGCAAAAGTCCCCCTCGCTTCCGGTGTGATTTTTTGGTCTGAATCTGCAGGTGCTTATATGATCTGGTGGGACTACACTGAGAATTATTGCTATGTACCATGTACTACAAATTGATCTTGCACAAACTCAATCTATGCCATCTAGTTAAACTGGTTTTGACAGCCATAGACCAGCAACATGAGGCTCTGGAAATCCAGCCCGATTGTACCAGTCAGATGCCGAGCATCTTCCGGGACACTGGCCGTGATGTTTCGATGGAGGTACCTGCCAGCTGCCACTCCGGCACCTCAGCATGAGGTGTCAGCTGTCTTGCCCCTGGTGTAAAAACCAGTTGCTTAACAGCTTCGAGATTCAAATCTGTTTGAGAGCGGGACGGTAATCAGCCAGACAACGATTTGAACACGGTGAGAATTTCCGTACTGCTACAGTTTGTGGCGACTTCGAGGTTTCAGTGCTCAAAGGCAACAACTTCGAAATTGAACAGTTTATCACTACAAACTACCGAGATACGAGGTTCAACCGTTTGTAATGTCTGTCTACGAGAGACTAGTTTGTCGATGTGGGTCCTAGCCCAGCAAAGCATGTATGAATGGTGGTTCATCTACCGATAGCATGCCACTCAAAGATTAGACTTGTGTTTATATATGCGCAATTTGTGACATACCTCGACCTACCAAGCCTCGGAAGCAGCGTAAAAACTACCGAGGTATGAGGTTCAACCGTTTGTGATTTCTGTCTACGAGACGCTAGAAGCAGCGTGCGGCCCGGGTATTGGGAATCATTGAACAAACCACTTTGGTTCTGGCAGAATTCAAAATTGAAGTTGAATTTCACACCGCGTTGGACAGACTGTACATTTCTCGACGTATCGGCAGCGAAGCAAACGACGGAACACACTGTGGGGGTTTCCGTGATGGGAGAAGTTGAAGGTAAGCGAGTGGTAGTACAGACCTACCTTGTTCAGAGCACGCAACACCCATTTCAAGCCGTGCCCGATGACACTCGACATGGACGGGGATTGGGGCACAAAGAAGGAAGGGAGGATCATATCAGGTACAAAATAAACTGGTGCATAGTGATACGAGACAGTTGCTTCATACATCATGTATCATACTATGATCCTAGAGTTATGCTAGCTGTTCCGTCGACTGACATTGCTCCAGCCTCCAATCAGGCCTTGTCATCCACAGTATCCTGAGGCTGCTCTTCAATGCCTGACATTACAGATCCGTCAGACAAGGAAGGTGTTTTCTGGACAGGACGGGGCAGAGGGGTCAGGACAACAAAGTGAGGCCCAGCCTGGAGTGTGCTCTGTGAGGCGATAGATTTTTTGTAACGTCTTCGGGTGCGGTCTGATTTGGATGCAAAATCTGGCCCTTTCTCATATTCACCCCGGGCTATGGAGTATGAGATTAAATTTCATCAATGTTGCGAGGACACACCAGTTCTTTCCAGTTTAATGCCTGCCATTGGTGACAAACTCGAGTTGGAACTTGCACATGATCACCCATGTCTTCTACCTGCCCAAGTAGTTGTACTGATAGTGCCTCATTCTCCAGAGACTTTGTAGCATGGGTGAGGACATTATCTCCATCTTCCACTCCAATGTCGGAATTAATGCCAATGTCAGACTCGGATCCTGCAGTAGACTTCATCCCATCTGCATTGGTCAAATTCTGTTCCCCCTCAGACTTGCCACGGGCAGCATCCAAATTGCTAGGCCAGTCGGGCTCCGGGACCCGGGAAGGTGCTGGCTCAGGGGATGGAGAACAAGGTTTCAGGTTATGAAGGCCGGATATGTTGCACTTGGCCTTTGCTGGACGGCCACGATCTCTAGGAGGCATATTACAAGTAGAGGGTGAGTGAGGAAGATGTCCACTGGTCCGGGCAAGTTGTGCCCCAAGGCAACCACGTTGCACAGCAATCTAAATGTAATCTCAAGTGCTTGGCAACTCAAAAAGGAAACTGGGGTTTTTTTTTTTTGGAAGAACAGACATTTCAGCGGCCAAGTAAGCAACCATGTTTGATTCACATTCACAAACAGAACTTTAGTTCTGATTGTGCTCTTGAGCACCAAAAATGTCGCATAATTAGCATGTGACTTGGGGCATCATTGGATCATTCAACAAATGCACACAACCTTTGGCAGTCTGAAGTTCACACGGTCAATGTAAGCTGGTTGGCGCGCAAACGTTGACCGAGCGAACATTGAGGTGTCTGAAAAGTGTCCAAAATCCCTGTCCTTTTTTTATTTGTGAGCAGCCCTGCCACTTGCCAGCCACTCACTTTTATCAAACTTTCATTCAAGTGTTTAAGTACATCAATTTTGCATCAATTCCACCTTTCGAGTTCTACGGAGTGGTCCAGAAAATAAAAGAATCACATGTACAGGTAAATCTGATGTTCTGAATTCTGTTTGTGCCCCGCCGCTTGCCGGCCAACCCCTTTCATTGATCAAACAAGTGCGAGCCGTTGCCCCAGTGTAAAAAATCCTGTGATCCCAATTCTAAATGGGTACACAAATAGCTGGCTTCGATCTCGACTCGGATCCGTTGTTCTGTGGAGTGTAGATAACAGTCATGGAGCTGGGGAATCAAAAAAAGCTTGGACGCAATGGGGTTTGAACCCATGACTGCATACAATTCACGTGACCAGGACAACGGCCAAGGTGGTGCAAAGCATGAGTGATACCACTACACCATACGCCCCGCATGGCCAAGATTCCTTGTCCGTCAGGAGGGCCGAATGAACTGAAACAGTAAGAGCGCGGTGGGGTGCTGCGGAGTGGAACAAGAGTGTAAATTGGAAGCAAGGATGGAAGATGCCGGACAGCAGATTGCGGAGTTTGTAAAAAGGCTTCAGACGGACAGGCGTAATTTTAAAAGAAGGGTGAGGTGAGGTGACACACCTTGAATTCATCACAGCCGCATCGGCACACTGTGCTCAGCGCTTACTCAGATACATAATCAGACCACAGAACCAAGACTGAAATCCCACAAGTACATTCACCGACTATAGAGAGTGCCGTGCATCAGACTTTTGACATTTTGATTGTGAGGTTGTACAACCCCGAAAAACCTCGGAAAACCTGCAAAAACCTCGCAACCTCACAACGTCAAAATCCTATGTCCTGAATCCACAACCTTGACCGTTCGAGCCCCCGTCGAGGCACCACCCCCCCTCTTCTCACAAATCCCTTTGGGGACCAGGTACATTGCACTTCTTAAAAAGTTGGCAGACACCCCTTTCACGACTTTGGAGACATTTTTTTTGCTTCTTTTGTGGTTATGTTGAGGTTGTGAGGTTGTCGGCTAATCCGGCAACCTGAAAACCCCGAAAAACCCGCAATCAAAATGTCAAAAGGCTGATGTGAAACGCGCACACAAATACCATTAGAAAATCGAGAACTGTTACTGATTACGCGCCGCCAATCCAACAATATGAATTGGCTGCACAACCCAATGAGTCAAGAAAACTGTGGATGTAAATTTAAAAGAGGTGTTTGACACGCCAAACACGGTCTATGCAAGCGAGACACGGCGCAACACGTCGTGTTGCGTCTCCCCCTCTCGGCTTCCTTTGTCCCCCTACATATTTATAGGCTCTTTCATCTTTGTAGTTCCTCGTCCTCATCTTCTACCTACACTCACACAGCTCGATAGACTAGATTTCTGTTTCTCCCTTCCTTGCCGCTTTCCCTTCTGTAGTTTTTCCTGTAGCTCATGTTCTTTGCCGAGGCCGGCTCAAGCACGGTCCCTCACGGGCCGAGCGAGAGAGCTCTGGTGACCAAATCGATTCTCATTTTGTCCCCAAACTCTCTCCCTCTCTCCCATGATGGGCAAGGCATAGACTAACAGCAATTCATTGCAAGTCCTATGGCAACACAGACATATGGACAATCTAGGATCGAGATTGAATTCCTCGAGTTTTCCGAACCACAGGAAAGTCGGACATTTTGACGCGACTGCCGAAAACAAAAAAAACGGGGTCCTACGTTATCGTGCCAGTGGGTTGACGTATCGCCGTATCGGCGCCGGCGCTAATCCGATAATATCGGATTAGCGCGATCAGCACTAAATCGGCGCTCTTCCATGCTGCATATCTATCCACTCTTTAAGCTGGACGTAGGCCGGGTCACTGGGGCTGGTTGCCTTGGACTGAAACCAGGACTCTGCACAGCGCGTCACAACTCACCAAACTGTATCTTATTCTCGGGGAGGGACTTTTTCGTCATCTTCCTTGGTGGCAAGGGCTGTTCCAGATGTACAAGACTGGGTATGTCAGTTGGGCTATTTTTCCCCCTTGGATCTGAGGCGCTCTTTTTAGACTTGCAGATACACGTGGCAATCTGCCATGCTCGGAGTGGCTTCCATACCTCGTATTGTACGGAGCCGCAGCACTGGTGGTTCGCTATCCTCCGCCAGTGTGCTGTCTGAATTGTGCTCCTCATGATCCTCCCTCAGCTGCCGCGTTCACCTCACCTCGGACTCTTGGCCTAGCCTGCTGAAGGTCGCGCTTGCGCCATCCGAACACTTGATCTCCTTCTGGTCTTATCGCTGGTACAACCTCATTCTCTAGAGCACGCTGCGTGCAGTTAGTCGTTGATGTCGGTCCTCTAGATTTGACATTGCCCATGTCTTTCGCAGTCGCCCTTCCCCGTGTCCTGGTTTCTCTCGTCGCCGCCCAATTGCGGGATAGGTCCGCTTCAGCCTTCCTGTAACACCAATACTCATCAAACTCAACCTCAAAAACAATTCGTTGTCGATTTCGGCCCGAGCACGATTGCTGCGATCTGGATGCAGGTATGCACAGTCTCCCTACGCATGGGCGGACGTGATTCCTTGATTCTTCAGTGTTGAACTTGTTATATTGCAGGACTATATGGGATACCTCGGGTGTGTCGCAGGAAGGCTTCAAGCCCCCAGTGAAACGTATCTCGTCCTCCCGAGCACCGTACCGCAATATATTGAACCAAAAGCGAGTGACAGTGGCCGGTTGGACTTGGTCTCACGGAGAACGACACTTGTCTCTAGCTGATGGAACTATATCTGGCGCAAGACCGAAGGCCCACCTCGAGACATCTCGTCAACCTCAGCACTGGACGAGAGCTTGCCGAGGATAACCCAGGAATACTCAATCGCACAACAACAGCATTGAAAAACAAACTGGGTGAGTGGAAAATACATCATATTATGGTCAAGCCGCCAATTTACTGGAGTCATCGGTGGATAACACCTGGTACGGGTCTCGCGATTCCGACCGAACAGCCCAGATAGGACTCACTGAACATGATGTTGTTATTCCTATTCCCGAATGTCGTGCAGATCCGAGGTGAAGGCATCGGCGCTCCCATTCTTCCATCCGTACGCGAGCTGCTGCGGCAGCTGCCCCCTAGGCCCTATAATTAATTGTTCGCGCAGCCTAACTTCCCATCGGCGGATCACTGATTGACTGTTCCGTCGCCAAGCAGGTTTACTCCGCACCGGCGTGTCCGAGCCCAGCTTGACGACCCACGACACTCTGCAAAAAACACTTCTTTACTTCTGGTGCTTGCTTTTAGACTCTAACTTTACGATGGAAACCTCGCGGGCCAAACGGCGGCGAAGCAACCCCTCCGCAGATCTTCGACTTTGACCCCGTCTGGCGTCATTCCACTCTCATCAAGATTGCGCACTGATCGTCGCTGCCAACACTGCGTTTCCATCTGACCTTCGAGGCAACCTACATGACTGCACTGCTTTATCCGCCGGTGACCCAGTTCGCCGTTCTCATTCAGCTATCTATAATCCTTGAATTGGCCTCATCGCCTCACCGTACCTTCCCATTCCGGCAGGCCCTGTGTTCTTTTACATCCGCTTGGAATTTGATCCACTCATCCACCGGCCATGGCTGCTCCGAACTATCCCCACTGTCGCCTCCACGGCAGGATCTTGCTGTCCCCAACATCTTTGCGTCATTAAAACCAGGCAGCGCAGAGAGATTAGCCAACTCAAAATGCACCCTTACATCCAAGGAGGATGGAAAAATCTCACAAACTCAAATGCTCCCGGTTCATCTCGCAACCTTCCTCCCCAACCTTCGATATTCGGCGCACTCCCGGACCCATTTCGATCTCGCTCGGAAGCGCCTAAACCTACTCTGCTTTCGTTCACCTTCGGCTCCTTCCAGCTCAACATACTGAACTGTACCGTCACCGATGCACAGTCCCGGGTCTACTTCCGCATCATGACCGACACTCCTACTCTTGGCTACACCGTGTTCCTTAACGCCGCGAATCAACCAACAACGATCATCGAATGGCTCGCCCACCCCTTCGTGGAGATCCGGGGTATCCTATCTAAGCGGCGGACCACGGATTACCTACCGCTCGCACCGAACAGCAGGTTCGTTGGTGTCCTTTCTGGAGAAGGGTTACATGCCCACCTGTTGCGGCGTCTGTAGCCATCGCACGATGGAGGTTCTGGGAAAACACTTCGTATGGGTGCCGGGCGGTGAATATATCTTCGTGCGCGCCGTTCATTCTTTTATAACGATCATGCGATTTTTCTTCCCTGTATTCCAGCTGTACTCTGCCGGTGTGGGCCGACCCCAGGTCTACGCTCAGGTCTCGCGGGGCGACGGCGCGGTGACGCTGGAATTAACCGCGGAGGCGATTCAGATGGGACTGTTGGAGATTTGTGTCACGGCCACATTCCTTCTTCAGTGTGGGAGGAATATCGATTGAGTCTCGACCCATCCATTTACTATTATATTTACTACTTTATTCTTTCACTTACACGGACTCGTCGCTCTCCTTACATTCTGCTTCACCTCCTCAAAAATTGCATTCAACTTTCGTGATTCGTCTGCCCAGAACTGGTTCCTGGAATCCTCAACGGAAAAATTCACCATGTCAAGGAGAAAACCGCACTCGTCCCGACCAGCCTCTCAGAACAGCGAATATAGCGGATCACACATTCACTTCATCTGATCTCTTGCAGACTTCTAACCATTCAAATCCCATAATGAGTGCCGAATTAACGGGCAGAAGGAATGGTTGAACATCCTCGAACGTCGGGCGAGCACTCTGTCCATTTAGGCGCCAGGGAATAGGCGCTGCCGCCGGCTAAGTCGTATAAGAAGGGCGACGGTGAGGCGCTCAAGTCTTCACGTCCCAAGTTTTCTTGTGAACTCGTATGTGAATCATGACCAATGTTCCATGTCTGGCCACTCATTCCATTCCAGATCCAACCATGACCTACACCAATGGAATCGCTCCTATCGTCACCGTCTATGGTCCCGGCAATCTGCACCACCTCTCCTATGCCTCGAACGGCGGCATCCCGAACGTCGTCGGGAAGATGCCGGTGCCCACGACAGCCACCTCGGAAAACAAAACTAATTTCCTCCTCGGCTTTTCCTACACATTCACCGGTTACTCGTTCTACTGGGACGGCGCGGGCCCCGCCTTCTGGCGTGTGGCTGGTTCGCCTTTCACCGAGCCTGTGGGGACGAGCTGGACAGACGCTACGAGCGTGCTCTGGGGAAGCGAGGTGATATTGGGTGCGAATGTGGCAGCTCAGGTTACGAGCGCGGTGAATCGCGATAACGAGGTTATTGCATTCATCATTCCGGACAACCTCGATTGAAGAAACCCAAATTGGTCACGGTGTCGGATTAGGTCATTCCTAAACAATGATCAAACTTCTTCCTCAATTTGATGACAACG